GTGTCTACAACTAGCGTATGTATCAACTTCTAGAGCGTTGGACTTCTAAGAAGGAGGTCGCCGGTTCGAGCTTCCTGTGCCGCAAAACATCCTGCTGGGTTTGCATGGCTTATGACGGCTTAAGAGTTAGAAATTGTCATTCCGTTCTTCCAGACGTTTGTTGCAAATTTAATGGGGTCACCTACACCCGTCTACACCAAAAATGAATACCTGCAGTAAATGAATTCTAAACTCTTAACGCTTAATCGGACGACTTGTATCGATTTAACGTCAATAAACATAGTTGGTTATAGCTCCGGGAAAAGGGACGTCACACAGTAGGGGAGAAGGAACTCCAACTATACAGCAACTGAGGAATATTCTTCCAGTTCGAGAGAATTTGATTGTATTGAGACGACATTGTTCTACATGGAGTGAGGGGATGAACCAATGTCCGTCACTGAACACACAACCATTCATGGTCAGTTGGACATCGGTTTACAAGTGTGGGTTTGACTCTTCGTATGGGCCACTATAATGCACTCAGCCAGGTTAATTGTCAACTTCCTTGGCCCTGAACAGCCAATATATCGTGTGCTCTTACAGATGGTCAATATGGTTTTCCACGCTGTCTGTCTTGTAAGCCTGTTCTGACGACCCCAGTGGATGAATTCAGCTCGCTTCAATCATCGGATTGAATCACCGATTGTTGGAAAAGACAAACAGCACCAGAATGAGGACTTTATTGTGCACAGAAATCTAGGTTGCTGTCCCAGGCGGCAGTGACCACTGGCAAAAGCAGCGTTGGTCTTGACTGTGTTCAGTCAGACCTCAGAGTATGTGTGATAGAGAGTGATGGCAGCTGCTTTTAAATTACAGGGAAGCGATTGGTGTGTTGTATCACCCGAGGAGGGGTCGCGTATGGAGGCCCCAGTTGTGTTCACAGAGAGGAAGCGTGTTCAAGTGTCCCTGAGGCAGCTGCAATTGTCTGGGTGCGCGCGTGATTGCCATAGATCAGACGGGATTGCAAAGCATGCTTTGGTTGTCGGCCACAAACCTCACAAACTCTGTGCATGTATCACTGGCAGTACGAGAAGCAAATATTGTAGGTATTCTCCCCTTCGTGCGGTTTGTTGTTGAAGTAAACTCAGCCCTGCCGCCAACGAAATGCAATTTGGAGTTTCCACTCATGAAACCCGACGAAGACGAGTCCACGGCCACCGTAGGTGATTACGACTTCACTGAAACATACTGAAGACCGGAGAGGTTTCGCTTAGTTTACTCGTCACATTAGTTACCAAGAGTGCACGATATGTGATTGGAGTACAGCTCAGCCTTCATAATTACCGGTAAAAGCTTAGCCTTTTTTATTCTTATTCTTTTTTTACCGAAAGGCGTTTCAGTATTTCCTGTAAAATGCATAATTTACGGCAAACGTTCAGGTTCCTGTGGTGTCATCTTATACACCATTCACCGAACTGCTCACTTGGACAACGCTATGCAAATTTTAACCGACCGGATTTAAGGTTATCTGGATAAACGCAATACGTTCGCTGAATTCTAGCCCACCCGATTCCTGAAACAGTAGTATTCGTGCGTGTGCTTCTGGTTGTGGTCCGGTGTGTTCGGCATTTTGACCGCAAGCCTGTACTGAGAATAATGTTAAAATTAGCCAATAAGATGACGGCATGGCTAGTCACCAGATTCAGTTCACCCATTCTAGTCAGTCACTAAACTGCAATCACGATATGGCCGTTTTGAAACAATTCTAGATGCCTAAGCAAACAACGGGTGTTGAGTTTACGTAAATACGCATAGTTGGTTTAAACTCCCGAAAATATTCGTCACGTATTAATTTAGTTGGGCGCAAAGAACTTCCATAATCATTCTATGCAGTAATTGAAACAGATTCTCCCAATTCGAGAGAATTCGTCTGTTTCGAGAAAACATCCATCTACAGGTATGAACCTTCAGTCGAAGAAAAAACATTGCAAGCGGAACGCGTTTCTCACAATCGACCACAAGCAAAAGTTAGACAGTAAAACTTAACAGAAATGAGCTGTTTCAAAATGGATGTTAGGGGTCTCTGCTTACCGGGGTGAGGGTGTTAGTATCCACATCTTCAGATATGCAGATGGACGACTAAAACGATAAGAAAACGGTTATTCAAGCTGTACGAAAAATGCGCCTCTATAATCCTTAAAGATATGTGTTTTTGACGGTTAATCTACACAGGCTTTTTGGCCAAGCGCTAATTAACCGGTCACAGGATGCGGTCGTCTCCTCATGCGTTCAAAACAGGCAAAATGGGAAAAAGTGGTAGCTCAAGGGGCAAATGCAGTTTAAGTAGTGCACCTCCTATACCCCTAGTCCCAGCATTTCATTTACTGAAAACAGTGCTTGTACGTTTTTTGGGGGTGGGGAAATAGGATAGACAGGGAAGGAAACTTCTAGAAGTGTAAGGTGAAAAAAATGTAGTCGAATTTGGTCCCCGCGGCCGCTAGGAGTAAGCTGTTGTGCATGTAAACTTAATGTGTGTGCGGAGTTCCGCGCCGACGACTATAGTTATCTAACTTCAGAACAGTAAATTGGACCTCAGGTAAGTTGAAGTAGACGATTTACTAGACACCGTTTCTATTTTACAGGAACTTCAAGAAACCTGTAATTTAATCAGGCGGTTTTCCTGCAAAACGTTAAACGATAATACAGATTAGGAGAATCTACAGACATAAATCAAAACATTTTCTAAATACAATAAAATAAAATGCATAAGGCAGTTGTTAAAGTGTATTCCACTGCCTATCCCAATTCCCCACCCATAAAACCCTGGGACTAGGGATTAATAAGGTGCACTTCATAAACTACTGTTGCCGCTCAATCAATCTCCCTAGAATTAACGCTCACAAACCCATGGCTGCTAATTCATTACATTCCAGGTTCTCGTAGTATTGCTACTAATGGGGCTTTATTTCCAGATCTTTTTCTTGCCCAGTCTGACTTTGCATAGCTGAGTGTACACTGGTTAGTTGCGTTCAGTGGACAATCTGCGTTATCGATATCCCGTACACCGATTCGCAAATTACCCCGTCGCAAATTATTCACCTTTCCAGAGAATACTTTAAAGCGGTTTAAAAACGCACAATCATGATAAAAGGGGAATACGCTTTAGTGGCAACAGGTTAACAGACATCTGTGTTGGTAAGTTCACATGCTAACAATTAACATTTTGTATTCAAGATGTTGCATTCTTGCAGTTGCTTTGCTGACTTTTAAACTGTGCTCTGTTTAAATGTACCTTCTTACGAAATCTTCTATTCTCAGTTTGTTCTAGATAAGAAGATAGCGGAAAACGTGGAACTCAAACGTAATCGTTAGCCGTTTAAGGAAACAATAGTACGCCACATACTTCAGACAATAAATTCTATCGAAAAGAAGGATCATTTAATGGCGCCATTTACATATCGCTGTCTTCTCGAGATGGAGAGGCAAAAAGAAGAATCTACGCGCTGATTAACACACCGGAATATGCCCCAACAGGGAGTGGACGCAGGCAACGTCGTTGGCCAATTTGACGACCCCGCGCCCTCACACGGCCCTCACGGTCCAACGCCATGCCAGACCAAGTGGCAGCCTCCTCCTTACTTTTCTGTACAGAATACATTGCACCTACTGGGCCTAGAAGATGGTAACCGTTCGGGTTAACTCTAGTAGCCTTTACACTCCTCGGTATTGTGAGAAACAATATTAGCCTACATATTACAAATTTAAGAAAAAACTGAGAGAATGATGTTGCATCAAAAGAAAATTGAGGAGTCTCTGCTTACCAAAGTAAGGGTTTTATTATCCGTGTCGTTGGTCTTGCCAATAGACGACTTAAACCAGTGCAGAAAGGTATCTTAGAAGGCATGAAACCATTCAACTTATATTGAACATGCGGCTAGCTACAAGTCAAAACATCTATTCTGGGCCGCTGATCTCCAACGGAGTTTTGGCCGGACGCTTAGGGGCCAGGTTACAGGACACATTCGTACCCTTTTGTCTTACTGCTCGCTTGCTGCCATGGTTTTACTTTCATCTCAAAATGTCGATAAACAATCTGTATACGATGGCCTGTCAACTGATTGTGACTAATTACAGTTGTACATCCTATGGCGCCTGACTTGCTCTTATTTAAGTAGTGGCGGTTTATTCAACTGTCTCCGATTGGCTTTTTTCTTTGCCAAACTTTCGCTTACTTAAACAATAGTGCTTATTATTTACTACTTTTGTATGCAATATTTTTATCCCATCACCTTGATATGCAGCCCTGACATAACCCACCTCCCCCCCCCAAATATCACCTGTACAGTATTACACAAACCTCGTTTTTTTCTACTATGGTATTTTTATAAGGCCTTCTTACCCAAAAGACATACAAAAAATGTCGCTTATCCATTTGTCGCGAGCACCGTCTAAACTACGGTGGCAATACATCCATCTATTCTATTCAGCATACAGGACAGAGCATGCTGTATCTAGCAAAATCATACAGTTCAATTTAAGAAAACTATCGAGCAATGCTGATTTAGGTATTTAAATAACTTTCACAAAACTGTTATTCTACAGACATTTTTCATCGATTCATAGTTCCACCAGCGTCAACATATACCCGAAATGTATACGCAGGCGCTGAAATCGAGTACTAGGGAAAACCTTCTTGACACAAACACTATCTGTGACTTCTTTAAAATATGCCAGCACTGCCTATTACGGTCCCTATTTCGGTCGCTATGCGACTGACTGCCAGGGCGAATTTCGAAATCCATAGACAGTTCCGCGTTTGCTACCCCTACCCTGAAGATACACACAGAGGTACTGAAACGTATTTGAGGAAAAAAAATAACAAAAGTAACTTGTGGCCGCATAGTGTTAAAGTTAAGCTGCTGGCGACCACCGTAAAGGCTTGGTTGTGCATCAAACTTCATTTATCCATTATCCGTAGCAAATATTTTCAGTAAAAGTAGCGAAAACGTTCTCGGTGGTCAGTTTGGTTCAGTGAAGTTGTTAGCACTTACGGTGACGGTCGACTCGTCTTCATCCAGTTCCGTGGGTGGGAATTCCAAATTGCATCTCGCGGGCGGCAGGGGTGAGATTTTCTTAACGACAAACTCCAAGAAGCGAACAATATCCCTGATTTTTGGTCGTTGTTCTACCTTCTTGCTAAGGCCTCTAAATTGACACACATATACAGAGCTCATGAGGTTTTGAGATCATCAGAACAGGTTAACAATACATTCAGTATGGCAGACCAAACTTACTACCTACTGGAGCACACAACGTTTCACGGCATTGTAGTGACCTGTACAAAACGTTGACTTCCCACAGTAAAAAACTCGAGTAATTTAAAGTCAAGCCGACTAAGGATCATTTTATGTTCAATAAAGGCCAGGTGGTTTCGCGCTTTCTTCCAGGGAACTTAGGGATACGAGTAAGGTAAGGTTATACTCAAAATAAGGATGGAGTTAAGGATCGGAACTAAGGCGTTTATGCGTTTCAAGTCTCTAAATACAGTGAAGGCTTGTATTAGTGTAAGAACACTGAACTATTTAACCTTTGTGCAATTAAGCACAAGATCAACTGTATTACAGGAAGGGCTTCAGAGTATCCTGATTTCCCTGACGAAAAGGCAAAAGCCTAACGCGTAACGCCAACCCTCAGTTTAAAGCACCTCTATTGAAGATTACCTGGGCGACAAAGACCGAAAATACCCCGACCCGAGAGCTTGCAAAAACGTGTCCTTTATTTACTGTTTCGCCAACAGCTGCGGGATGGTTCAATATTTTTACATCTGAAGTCAGCATATGTCCTTTAATAATGCCTTGAAGTTTTCATCCTACTGACACCAGCATTCTATTTGTTGCATAGGTTAGGCTGAGTG